CTGAAGCGACTCAGAGTCTAGCACTTCTCCACTTGTGGCTGCTCTTTAAGTCTCAGCAGAAGATCAGATCGGCTGCCTTAATAGGCCTCAGATACTGAAGATTATTTTTGGTAGAAGTACTGCATAGGGTTTTTCTGCAGTGAGCAGCAGCTGACTGAATTTTAATAAGAAACCAGGACTACAGTACTTATTCTGTGGTCTTTAGACAACAGTTGCTTTCTTACAGACTAGTTCTTACCAACCTCGAATGACTATGGATTATTTTGTGAAGGATGATAAAGTAATGTGTGTTCTTGTAAAATTAAATTTCATCTTTATTCCTTCTCTTGAAAATCTGTATACACAGGAACTGAAAATCTTTGAAAAGGTATTAAAATCTGTGTAAGTATACAAACTAGCTGAGGGATAAAACTGTTTGCTTTTATAAAATATCTTTGATTACTTGAGTATAATAAATTGTGTGCATATAAATGTGTCTATATGCTTTCCTTTAAATATGTTTGAAAAGATGTTTGAAACTTGATTATACTATTTATAATTGGCACAGTACTTTGAATTATGCCAGTACTACATTGTAAAACAGAGTTGTATTTTTTGATATTTAACAATGCTTAACACTTTAAAATGCCACTTCTGAGGAATGAACATGGTGTAACACACTTGAATATGTGTGATGCCAAACTTTTTTAAATAAAATATAAATTATGCTTATTTATTATTTCCTTTAGTTTAATCTTGGTCATGTTTTGGTGTGTATTTTTAATTTTTTTCTTAAAGTAACACTTTGGCATGAACATTACTGCAGGTTTTTGATGAATATAATGAATGTATGGAATTCAACTGAATTTGCATGGTCTTAAGAATTTTTTCTGTGTGTATAAATTTAGCTGCTATTAACAGAAGAGAGAACTTTCTGTGAGTAGCCATGTGTGTTGATCAAGTACAGTTTTTCTGAGATCTTCAACTAATCTCACTTTAAAATGACCAAAACATGTCTTTCTTGAATATCTTTGAATAAAAGTTTGTATATTATTTGTTTCACATTGTCCTTGATTTTTATCTATTTAGTTTCATATTAAGAAAGTTTTCTGTTTTGGTTTTTTTTTTTTTTTAAATTTGCGTTTTCTAACTTCACAAATCAGCATTTTTAACTTGTTGCCAAAAGAACGTAAAAGGCAAGTCTGTTATCAGTAAGTGAAGTCACTGAAAATTGTAATCCAAGAAAAAGTTATCTCAGCCATCAGGGCAAAGTCTCGCAAGTATTGGTGAAATTTCAAGTTTTTATATTCCTATGTCCCTACTATGAGCACAAGATAGATGACAGTGAAACAAATAGCAAAGGACCAAAAAGTAAGTCAAAGAAAAAATACCCACTCTAGAGCAACTGAGACATAAATTGTGGTTTTGATACAAATCAAAGGAATTGAAGGAATTGAGAGCTTGTCCATTGGGATGGACAGCTTAGGTTGTGGACCCCTGAGAGGGTGCAGAGGGGAGGGGAGGAGAATGAGAAGAGTGTGATGGGATGTGGTGGCTATGCCTCAGAAGAGAATTTAAAAGGTTAGCATGAACAAAAGTTGAGCCAGAACAATCGATAATCAAGAGCAAGAATTAGACCTATGATAAAATTTCCATTTAGTTTAATACAGAGTACTGAAATTTAAACATAGAACCATATTTAATACTTACTTGAACTTTTAATTATAAATGGAAACATAAGGAATTTAATCAGAAAAAGAAAGAGCCTCTGCTTACCTTATGAAAGAATGAATTTCTGCATTAGTGTGGCTCCAAGCACATCCAATGTCAACAAACATGCTGAAGATCTAATGAATTTGGCACGATTAGCTGTTTCCAGCGGCATCAAGGAAAATGTGTGTCATTATCTTCCTAGTCACTTCCAAACACTAATATTCCATGAAACATCTGTGAATTATCAATTAAAGATTTATCTAAAAAATAAATTAAGCTTTTCTTGAAATGCAATCTATTAAGGTAGCAAAGTCTTAAATATTAGCATGTCAAGTATCTCTTTGTTTTTACTTCCTTTGAAGCTTTAATAGCTAGACTGTAAAGTAGTTTGCCAAGGTTTGTCAGTAGGTAGATTCGTAACTCTGTCTTCAGAGGCTTTGGATATACCCTGCTCTCCCCCACACCCCTCTGTCTTTCCAGTTTGGAATGCCCCCTTTAAAAAAGGGGGGGCATATAAAAGCATTCTTGGCTTATTCTATTATTGTACAAGAAAGACCATAAGTTAAGGAAGAGAGGCGTTTCAGAAATCCTGTCAAGAAAACAGCACCAGGTTCAAGTGGAGTTCAAGGCTAGATTTGGGTACCTGCATTGTGAAGCAACTCTGCTTCCTGCTTTGCTTGGATATGTGCCTTGTTGGCCAAAAGCACTGGTGGCTATGGTTAAGGTGGGTGATACATATACTGCTAGGAGACTTTGACTTCCCTTCCTTTCCCTTGTGCACTCAGGCATATGATTCCTAGTTTTTGTTATCCTCCCTTATAGCATGAAGACCTGAGTATTTATAATCTCAGCTGCTGATGGGTTGTGAAATTTCTCCTTTAATAGATACAAGGACAGTATAATATTACACAGTGATGTGCTAAACAAGCCTGCCTCTTGTTTCCGCTTGGTATTGAGCAAATTGCCTCCTACTGACTTGTATGGCAGCCGGTGTCTCATTTTGGAGAGGAGTTCACATGCGAGAGTGGAATCACACTTTGAATCAAGACTCTGAGGTTCCAGCCTGGCTTCATGACTCCAAAGAAAAAAGCAGTGTGTGTACTGGAAAATCCAAGGGCATAAGAACAAGAAGGCTCTGCATTTGCATCCCCCCTCTATTAGCTGCTAGCTGTAACTTTAAATATGTTATTTAACCTCTGCCTCTTATCTTTCTGCTCTAAAATGGCAGTGTAGTGTCTGTGGCACAAGTTTATTGTAGAATTTGTAAGAAATGATGTATGTGAATATGCCTGGAATACAGAGGACCCTCAATAAATTACCATTTTTGTTAACATTCTCTGAACCTCCCATTTCTTTATTGTAGGGAAATAAGTGAGTTGAGCTGCCCTATCTGTATTTCCTTTCAGTTCTAAATGTCCAAGATTTAAAATAGTAATTTGACCCCTCCAATACATATACCTGCTCTAATTCAGAAAATACATCTACTGTGTAGGCCTCCAAGTCTGAAATGATAACCAACATTTTCTGAGCACTTCCTGTATTCCAGGTACTATGCACGTGGCCTTACATACATACTATTTACCATCATAACAAACTCTTTTACAGAGGTACTAGATAAAACTTAGCACAGAAGTTAGCACACTGCTAATGGACAAAACCTGGTAAACCTGACCCGTGGTGCATATTTTTTAACAGTACTGGGGAAAGCGCAGCAGGTTTGAGCAAATGAAGAGCGGACTGCAGATGCAGTCACACCCGCAACCCCAGCCAGTAAGAGGGGGAGCTCTGGAGCTGGTGAGGGGCTGGGCCACTGTACTCCTGCATCGACCAGACTGACCAGACCAGCCGTGGACTCCCGCTGCCCCTTGGAAAGGGGGTGTGCTAGTGGGGAGAGGTGGCTCTCTCTGCCAACACTCAGTAACTGAGCCCCTGCTTCAGTCCTGAAGAAGAGGACCTGAGTGGTGCACCACAACATCCACTCCAGGACACCACTCCCCTTCTTCCACCGGCCTCCTAAAGATAGGGCTCTGACCACCCAAAGGGCAGATCCCATTTAATTTGATTTGACCCCACTGTAATGATACTTTACAGAGATGTCTTTGTCAGACATGGGACAGTTAGATGGGAGGGTAGAGGTCACTGAAGCTAAGGAGAGGCATCCCTCAAGAGGGAACTTCCTCAGGCAGATTATACCTGAACTGATAGCTGATGGGTAGGGGAGGAGATGGCTGATGGTTTCAGGCAGAAAAACCAGTTTGAGGATATCCCTGAGAGAAACAACAGCATCCTGTTTTCCTGAAACACTGAATAGCAGTACCTTCAACTAGACCAAATGGTGCCTTTGTGCGAACTTTTAGGACACACTCTTAGGCTGAAATTCGTATCTTCTTACACCGTCTGTACAGGCTACCCTTATTCCCTATACATTAGTATTTTAGTGTTGAGAGACGGCTGAGATGAGGTCAGGGCAGTAGACTAGTTGCAAGTGTGTCAAATCCTCTGTGCCCCGCCCCCGCCCCCGGTATTCTGGAGCTCCCGGTTCCCCTGGGGGTTACAACGTCTGGGCGTTCTGGCAGCCCACGCACTACTGGCCAGGTTAAGGCCCTCAGGGGAGCAGCCATCTGCCATCTGTTAGGTCAAATCATTTTCTAAACTTTTACTAGCTTCCGATGTTCTCACCTGCAAAATGGGGTAATGATAACTAACTCTCTCGATGATCGCAGGAAATATACTGCATGGGAAATTCTCCATCTTCCATATATATGGGTTTATTAAAGGGTACTGGGGCTGGGGAAACAAGGAAGGAGAATGATCTAAATCCAAGGTACGCCAGAGAAAGGCGGAGCTATCTGTAAACACAGAACAGTCAAAACCGCATATATCCTATTCTCTTTCCAGGTTCTGGCGAAGCGACTGCTACACAAATCACATCTCAAAGTCACGGGGAGGACGGGCTGGTACCCTCTTACCCCGACAGCACTGGCGTAGCGGGAACCACGGAGGAACCCCGGTTGCCAAGGCAACTCCCTGCGGCTGCCCCCACGTAGCCGCCGTCCGTTTCCACCCCCTCACGCCGTCACGCGTCCTCGCGCTTCCCCGCCTCCAGGCGCGCTGCGGCGCTGGCTACTGGCTAGACGTCTCGGTCTCACTATCCTCACTCCATCCGCGGAGCCAATGGCTGGGATCGCCAGGGGTTCGTTCACGCGAGTCAGACGATGCCTGCAATACCGAGGACCAATCACAGTGCTGAGAAGGCGGGTTGGGAGCCCTCACAAGCCAATAACGGCAAAAGAAGCCGGCCTCGCCCTCTTGGCTCCACCCCGGGCGCGGAGAGGCAGGTTCCGAGGCTGCAGCACCTGGTGGAGTCAGGGTGGCCGTGTCCGGCAGTTTCCGCGCGGTCGTCCAGGTGAGGGGGCTGGAAGAGAGGCTGGTAGGTCGGAAGGAGGGAGAGGCTGTCTCTGGCCAGCTGCTCCGTGGTGGGAGCGGGGTCCGGCGTGCGTGGGTGCTCGGGGCGTCAGTGCCGGATATGAGGACGGCGACCAGAGAGAGCGGATGATAGCGGTGCGAAATCTTAAATGATGGAATCGGGGTTGGGCCCTGTTTCTTGCCTTTTAAGAGCTTTATAGTCCTCGAAGACGGGAAATATTAGGAGATAGTTAACAGTGTGGGGTGAAAGAGTGATAAAGTTTTACAAACACGGAAGCACTAGCGGGGGATAAGCTCTGTTGTGTTCGTGCAGTGGAGGGGTGGAGTGGTTGGGAAGGCGTCTGAGACGGAGGTTACTGAAGGATGAATAGTTGTTGGATAGGGTGGCGTCACCGGCTAGGGAATGCTGTGTCCATTACACGTGAAATATAAGAATATGTTGAGGTGGGAGATAGATAGATGATGGGTGGGGAAAGGCCTGGCAGGACCTGATTTGCTTCGCTGAGGGCCTTGGTCTTTGTCTTTAAGGGAGGCATTTTGTACGAAGTAGGGGGTTAACTCACCTGTGTAGATAATATCCTGGCATTGTATCGTTTCGGGAGGGCAAACTTCGAGATTGGGCAACTCCAGCAAATGAGGGAATTTTGCAGTCCGGGCTCAGCGAAGGTAAAGGGCCAAAGGACAGACACAGGCAGACCGCCCTCAGACAGCTAAACTTCAGGGTTTCCTCAGAGAATCCACGGAGAACTAACTTTTTCTGAGGATAGAGTAGGTTTTCCATCAAGTTGCACAGGATGAGAAAAGGAAAAGAAAATTCACTATTTCCCCCTCCCCTCTCCTCTTTAATTCCTAGTTTTTGCTTTTGTTCATTTGGCAAAGTGTATCCACTTTACTTTCTCGTGTTGGGAGAGTGAACTCCTGAATGTTAATTAAACCAAGTATCTCTAAATTGGGAGCGATTTTGAAGGCTTGTCTTAGGCAGCAGAGACAGGAGAGACTTAGAACATTCTTTCGGTAATGACTAAATAGGTGATGGTGCAATTCACCAAATTAGAGGTTAAAGAAGGTAGAGTATTTGGGCAGGGATGCAGGGAGCAGTTGTTGAACTTTTGGACACGTTGAGTTTGATGGGCTTCTGAACGGTCTCTTTGGAGATGGCCAGTAGAGTTTTAGATAATCAGAACCTGGAGTTTAGGAGAGAGGGCTAGGGATAGAAAGGTTGTGCATGTCAGTGTATATTTAAAACAGGAAATAGTTGCCATCACTCTAGGTACTCTGAAATAGGTGGAAAGGGGTAAGGAAAACATTTTGGGGAAACTAACCTCCATTCCCAAGTCTTCTTTCTCAAAAAGCGGTAGCATAAACATACTAAATCAGAAAGTGCTGTCTTCTTTCTCATCTCCTGGTTGAGTATTTGGATCTGATGTGCCCTCTCCTCAAAACATTCCCTGTACCTCCCACCCCACCCTACTTTACTTTGTTTTAATCAGGTCACCTCCCCCTTATGCTCCAGGTCTCTTGTTTTAAGAACTCTTTCCTGGTCCTCTGTGTTCTAGCACTCTGTATTTCCAACCCGTTATTGTCCTTATCACTTAATTTTATGATAGTCTGGTTTTTGCTTTGTATTCCTCATTAGAGTTTATGTTTTGATATCAGGGGTGTGGACAGCAGCTAGCATAGTAGCTGCACATAGTAGCATAAATTAAATCAGAGTGAATACATGTGAATTCCAAGAACCAAGGAAGGAGAGTATTTTGAGAGAAGTATCAGATCTTCAGATTGGTCAAATAAAATAAACTGCAAAGAATGTTTGTTGGATTTGGCAGCTAGGAGATCCTTAGTGATTGTATTAATAAGAGTAAATTCAGTGCAGTGAAGAGAATGGAAAGAAGATTGTAATAGCTGGAGAGTCAATGGGAAATGTGAAAATGAAGACATTATGTATAGAATAATCTTTAAGGAGCTTTGGGAAAGCTGTAGGAAGTACTCCCTTCTTACTATAATATTTCTTGTGTGCTTTGTTATTTCTGATTACAGTAGAGCATAAGGGATGAGTGCATAGGCTCCCCCAGTTAGTATTTTTGTAACTTGGTTTAGAAAAGTTGTTTATTCTTTCTAAACCTGAGTTTTTCAATTATAGAAGAGATAATAAAATTACCTACTTCATGAAGGTAGGTTGGTCGGGATTAAAGGGATTAAAGTCTTTAATATATTGAGAGAGCATACAGAACTCCTAAAACACAGTTCCTGGGGGCACCTGGGTGGCTCAGTGGGTTAAGCCTCTGCTTTCGGCTCAGGTCATGATCTCAGGGTCCTGGGATCAAGCCCCGCATCAGGTTCTCTGCTCTGCGGGGAGCCTGCTTCCCCTTCTCTCGCTGCCTGCCTCTCTGACTACTTCTGATCTCTGTCGAATAAATAAATAAAATCTTAAAAAACAAAACAAAACACAGTTCCTAGCATGTAAGAAGTGCTCAAAATTGTTAGCTTCTTGTAGCTACTATGTGTTGGGTCCTATGTTAAGGACTTCACGTGTGTTGGGTCTTGGACCCATTAGAACTATTGTTTTTCTTTTTTCAGCTTCATGAAGGTGTAATTGACAGGTAAAATTGTAAGATATTTAAATGTACATTGTGGTGATTTAATATATATATACACTATGAAAAGATCCCCACGATCTAGTTACTATTGTTACTGTGTACATTTTGCAGATGATAAAACCGAGGCTCAGAGAGGTTATGTATCTTGCTCAAGGACACACAGCAAGTAAGTGTTGTTGGTTCATTGCCACATTTGGCAACAACCTCATGAAAATGAGAATTGGAATGACTTTTACCTTGCAAGTTAGAAGACTGAAGATATCTTGGTGTGAGCGGGAACTATATTGCAAGTAGTTGAGGGGGTTGTGTGGGTAAGAGCAAAGCAGGGGGAAGGCTTTTTGTTGATTTCTCCCTAGAGAAAGAAGTTGGTTCGAAGAAAAGGAAGAGGGACAGTGGCTTGGGGAAGAGGGAATACAGGTTAGGAAAACTTTTCACTAGAAATGAAGACTTGAGTATGTTTTTAAACTTGAGAGGATGGACTTAGTGAAGAGGGGAGAAATGAAAGATGAGAAAGGATAAGTGACGGACAAGTTCCCAGGTAAAATAAGAACATAAGACTAGTCACTCTCAGAGAGGGTGAGTGAGAAAAGAGAAATGTTGAGGTTGGGATGGCCCAGGATGTATCTGTAGCCTCCATAGTACAAGTCATTTGAGAGTGAGTAGGACAAAATTCTAAGTGAATTCTGAGACCTGAGGAAGCTGGCTAATCTTCCCAGTATCCTCCATGAGGAAGGGGTCCAAGGTCAGTATGGGAACAATAAGCATCTGCCTTTAGCTGAGGTCATGATCCCAGGGTTCTGGGATCTAGTCCCCCACTGGGCTTCCTTCTCGTCAGGGTTCTGCTTCTCCCTCTGCCCCTGCTTGCTCTTTCTTTCTCTCTCTCTCTAATAAATAAATAAAATCTTTTTAAAAAATAAAATATTTTTGGTTTTAGTCTATCATAATTCATAAATTGGGAACAACAGTGAACATTTTTAGGAAAGTGACATACTTGTAAACTTGAAAGTATCAGCATCTTTAGTTCAGCATCCTTGACTATGGAGTATGTAAGTATAATTGTAAGAAGGTATAAAATGGAAAGCAAAATTTTTGTCCTCTCCTCCATAATGGAACCCCCCACCCACTGAGTGTGCACATAATGCAAATGCATGTATCTGTTACTTCTTGATCTCTTTTCCTTTAAGTCATCACTCTCAATTGTTCCCATTGTTCCTCAGATATCCTTCCATACATTTCCTGTGTGTGGGTATGTGTGTCCATCCGTCCATCTGTCCATAAGCATGAACGTGCACAGTATAGAACCTTTTCACAAACCCTAGGTGGGGGAGCTTTTGTTATGTGCATTATTCCGCAACTTGCTGTTTCACTTAACATAGTATCTTGGGACATCTTTCTATGTAGAACATAAAGATTTTCCTGTTCTTTGAAATGGCTGCATAATTGTCTCTGGAAGGACTTAGGGTTTATTTAACTCCTTTCTTATTAATGGACTTATTTCTGTAGTTTTCCTTTTTTCTTTGTTTTTGCTGCTGTAAGCAATGCTTCTTTGTGAGTGAGAAAATTGCTGGGTCAAAAGGTATATTTTGGAATTGTGACAAGAACTGTGAATTTTTCTTCAAAGGCCTACTGATCTCTCCATCAACAATGTATAATGGTGCCTGTTTCCCCAAATTGTTACCCTTACCAGTACTGTCTCCTGAACACTGAAACTTTTAAAGACTTTTTTGTTTTAGGGTGTATTCAATCTGAGCTGCTTATTTGTTTAGTGAACATTTGTATTTACTTTTCCGTGAACCCCTTGGGAATGGCCTTTGTCATTTTTCTATTGGGTTTTTAGTCTTTTCCTAAAGCACACTTTGCAGCCGTTTATCATAAGTTTTGGAAATATTTTTTCTGGTTTGCCATTTGATCTTAGACTTTATTTATAATTGTCTTTTTATAACAAGCATATTTAATTTTTATGTAGTCTTATTTGGCACACTTTTTCTTAATAGGTTTTTTGGGTTTTTTGGTGTGCTTTTTGTTTTTTTGGTTTTAAGTGACACTTGAACTCCATCATTGCAGATTGAAGGTACAAGTTTTTCCATGGAGACCACATTGAAAAGTCTCTTTAAAGATAGTTTGAAGTTCTTTCTCTACTGTTGTTCTTTTAGATCTTGCTCTTGAAAGTTAACATGTGGCTTTTAATTTTTATTTTTAAAATATTTTATTTATTTATTTATTTGAGAGAGAGAGAGCGCCCACGCACGCATGCAGGTGAGGAGGGGTGGTAGCATGAAGGGAGGGGCAGGGAGGGGGAAAGAATCTCAAGTGGATTCTGCCCTGTGGGGCAGAGGGCAGGCTAGATCTCATGACCCTGAGATCATGACCTGAGCGGAAACTAAGAGTTGGATGCCTAACTGGCTGAGCCACCCAGGTGCCCCAACACGTGGCTGGCTGGCTTATTTATTTATTTTTTTATTTAAATTAAACTAACTTAACATATAATGTATTGTTTATTTCAGAGATACAGGTCTGTGATTCATCAGTTTTATATAATACCCAGTGTTCATTGCAACACATACTGTCCCCAATATCTATCACCCAGTTACCCCATTCCCTTACCCTCTCCCCTCCAGCAAACCTCGGTTTGTTTCCTAAGATTAAGAAGAGTCTCATAAATCAGTGTCTGCAAATGGTCATGGTGATGATATCCATTATACCTTTGTTGTTTTTAAAATTATCAGAAGATGAATTTTAAAAATTATTTTCTGGGAATTTCATTGTTTGGCTTACTTGGTTTGCTTGCTTGCTTATTTATTTATTTATTTTTTATTTGCCTTTATAGAATTCTAAGGCTTTCTGCAGAGATTTGAAAAATGGCAACAAATGAAAGTGTCAGCATCTTTAGTTCAGCATCCTTGGCTGTGGAGTATGTAGATTCACTTTTACCTGAGAACCCTCTACAAGAACCATTTAAAAATGCATGGAACTATATGTTGGATAATTATACAAAGTTCCAGATTGCAACATGGGGATCCTTGATAGTTCATGAGGTCCTTTATTTCTTGTTCTGTTTACCTGGATTTTTGTTTCAATTTATACCTTACATGAAAAAGTACAAAATTCAAAAGGTGAGTGTGATGTACTTGCAATAAAATGTTATCATTCTTGTCGAATATTTTAAAAGTAAATGTAACTTTGTTTTGAGAGATCCTAGATCAAGGTTGTCTAATAGAAATAGAAGGAACATATGTAATTTTACATTTTCTGATAGAATACATAAGGTGTAGAGAAATAGGGAAATTAATTTTAATATTTTATTTAATACAATAAATTGAAACATTTCAACAAGTAATCAGAATTTAAAAGTACTTAGTAGGTTATTTTATGTTCATATTCTCACAAAAAAAGTCTTTGGAATTGGGTGTCTTATGTTAATTTTAGCCCATCAAAGTTTAGCCATATTTAAAGTGTTTACTAGCCACATATTTCTAGTTCCTGCCACATTGGACAGCGCTAGATTATTATTGATAATGTTTCAAGAATAATTTTTTAAATTGTGCTTTTAGTATATGTGACATTTATCTAATTTGGATCTATGATCTTTAAACTAGCTGGAAAGAGACATTATGGGCATGTGTAGATACTTTGCAATTCTCTCCAATTCCTAATGTCTCAGCCATTAGTGTATGTTTAATATCATAAGATCTTGATCAGGGCTATTAAAAGTTTTGTTTTTTCCTTAAATATAATGGTGGTTCTGCAGGATTCATGTCATCATGCTCCTAGAGTCTAAATATTTGCTTTAGTGCACTAAATTCCTTGAGATTCCCACCATGCATGACAAAATGTTGAGATAGACACAGTGCCTCTTCTCCATTGTAGTCACGGAGGAAATAGTGAGCTCTAGCTCTCTGAAGACTAGAGCTTGTCCGGGTGTCCGGAACAGAGTCCAAACTCGCTTATCAGAGATGAGTTATCAGCACTTGGCAGACCCGTGGTAGTGTCTAATACTTGCTGTTTACTTTCTAAAAAGTCATGCCAAACTAAAACTCAGGGGCACGTGGTCTTGGTAGAAAGTGGACATCTTGAGAGCATTGACCTGTGGAGAATGATTTGTACTCACCAAGTACACACCAGGTGGCAGTCATCGTGCACATTTTCCCCCATCAGTCTCCTAGCCCCGTTGCCTCTCCCAGTGAGTCTCACTGTAAGTGCTCACTCAAGTGCTGATGCTGATCCTTTCTGGGGGTAGTCCATGGGGTCAGGCCAGTAGACTCTAAGCCAAAGGAAAAGGGGGAGGAAATAAAAAGGGACATGCCCAAAGAGGGGTATCCTGTAAATTAAGGACAGACGTTCCAAAAGCTTTTTATAACAGGGCCTGCTTTGAAAGGCAGAATTCAGTTTGGATGTGTAAGCTCTCATGCATGTTTGGGGTGATTCTGGAGACTGTGTGTCACCACGTAGTTCTTTATAGGGCTGATACATGGTGTGTCTGGCCAGGTCAGAGCATCCTTGTTGTCCTCCTCCTCCCCTCTGCCCTTGACTCACTAGTCAGAGGTGGGAACTTTTCCAGAAAGGCCTTTTTCAGTTAAGGTTTTATGCATGACTTTAAAATAAACTGTCGCAAAAGACAATACAAGTAGTTGTCTAGTTGGTTACAGGTAGTTATTTATAAACAAATTGAAAGGCTGGGTAGTGTGGCTTAACATTGCCTTGTCCTTCTTTCAGTTTCACAACCATTAAAAATCCCTGCTTTGGATCTTCTTAGTACAAAAATGAATTGTGATAGTAAAGCAGTATAGGTTTTCACAAAACGGGTAAGGTTTAAAGACAAGCAACAAAATTAGTAAAATTAATTACAAGTTTATTTCAAAGGAAGATCCCCTGAAGCACTGAGGGTACAGGAAGAGGTTGTTGGTGGTGATGAGCATAGCAGCTTTCAAATGGAATAGACTACCAGACAGTTAATGCACTTTAGAAAGTCTGATGTCTTACTACTTCTCTAGGTATGTTCTTCCAGGGGGTATATACTAAAACTATTCCTTTTTGAAAAAAAAAGATTTTATTTTTTTATTTTGAGAGAGAGCACATAGGGGCTGGGGGCAGAAGCAGAGGGAGAAGCAGGCCCACTACTAAGCAGGCAGCCTGATTCGGGACTTGATCCCAGGACCCTAAAATCAGGGCCTGAGCGGAAGGCAGCCGCTTAACCAACTGAGCCACTCAGGTGCACCTGAAACCATTCTTTCTGGAGTCAGTTTTCCTAGTAGTATTCCTTCATATTAACTTGCAGTTATATATAAAGTAAAATATGGTAAACCCTGATATTCACCAGGTATTTGTATTTCATTGTTCACTATTTTTTAAACTAATTTGTCCACGCTGTGATTTTTTAGTCATAATTGATAAATTTTTGTGTTAATTGCTATAGCTAAATGAGTATCAGATTCAAGCTAGGATATTAAAAGTCTGTTAAACATGGTCCTTAGGGAGAAATTGCCCAAGCTGGATTTATATTTTGTCCTCAGTCACAGACTGAAGGTTTGGAGTAGTGAGGTCGGATAATCTCAGAGATAGCCAATGACAAATTATCTTGTCTAATCCCTTCATTTTATTATTAAGGAAACTGAATTGTGGGCATTACAGAGCCAGCTAACTAGTTGGTAAAGGCCCTGAGATTGGAGACTGGCTCTCTAGATTGGTTATCAATTGGATGCTTTTCCTTTTTTTTTTTTTTTTTTTTTTTTTTTTTTCCTATTATGGAAGAGAACTCAGAATTTTAAGAACAACAACAAGAAGGAGAATTTTAAGTCCAGAACTAGAGACCTAGCTTTTAGTTAGTCCTGGTTCTAATCACTGCCTGTGTGATCCTGGGCTACTAGGTAGTTGACCTCTTTGGGCTTCTGCTAATGAGCAGTAGTTTCCATACTTAGGATATTATGGTTTAGTTAAAAAAGTATCATTGGCAGAAGTCTAAATGTTTAAGTAAGGACATTGAAAACAAGCAATAACTATTATTTATTATCACCATCTTTTTGTAAAACCAGAAGTACTTTTTCTTATCTAACTGCGGCCATTTGAAAATTTATTTATTTATTTATTTGAGGGAGAGAGAGTATGCACTTGCACAAGAGGGGGAGAAGCAGATTCCCTGCTGAGCAGGGAGCGAGTCCCAGGAGGATCATGACCTGAGCCCAAGGCAGATGCTTAACCAACTGAGCCACTCAGGCACCCCTAACTGCAGCCCTTTAAATGGAATAAATTTAGTTTTTTTATATGGCTTGCTAAGCCAGTTGATATCCTGATGAGGTTTTTGAAATATTTATTATATTGATCTTACTTTTCTCATTCTGGCTTTCATCTCTGAACACTTATCTGTGGGCAGCAGGTCTCCATTCTTTGGGAACCACTGGACCCATTTCCGAAGTTCTTCCAGCTCAGAGTTTATAATTCTGTCATCAGATGTGAACAAAAATATGCTAATTTCTGGGAAAGAACACCGCTGAATGGCTGGCAGCATGGATTTCCCTTTGTAATAAAGGCTTCAGTGCCACCTGCAGGACTGTTGGCACACTTGGGAGAACCCACCTGTGCTCTGAGCATCATGCATTTGTGCTCTGAGATTCCTGGGTGACAAAAGGGAATGATGTGGGACGCAAAGACTGGACAGTTACTCTGTAGTGTTTCTTTGGTTCATTTGAGATCATTACACCTGGGTTTGTCTATTAACAGTTTTTTTTACCTATTTAAACTAGTGATCACAATTGTCAAGGATTTCGAAGGGGAGGAGGCTGTGATTCCTAGGTCTCAGTTACTGTCACACAGTCACTGTAATACAGAATTCACATCGTAAGATTAATTAAATAATGTAGAATTAAGGTTATCTGGAAACATTACAAAAACAATTAAAAATTCGTTCTAAGTTTAAAGTCAAGCTACTGATAGCTGAGGCTAATGCTAAATATTGTGATTTTTTTCTCCATAGGACAAACCAGAAACATGGGAAAACCAGTGGAAATGTTTTAAAGTACTTCTCTTTAATCACTTTTTTATCCAGCTTCCTTTGATCTGTGGAACTTATTATTTTACAGAGTATTTTAATATACCTTATGATTGGGAAAGAATGCCAAGATGGTATGTATATAAAGATTTGATTTTGATACTCAGTCATGCTTTATCATCTAATTAAAATAATTCTTCATGTTTCTTTCTTCATTTGTTTGTTCTAAACTTTAGAAGTAATTAAAACATAGAAAAAGTAAGCCATAGTAGAAACTTAAAACATTCCCATTTTTCTGTCTTTTTGTGTTTTAATGTAATATTTTATTGGAAAGTTATTTATTTAGATATTTTTGGAAAGTGATTTCTTATGTCAGATAAGTTTTGTTAGCATCCTTTATATGATTTTATACAGATATACCCACTTATACCAAGAAAAACTATATTACATTTTAAGTCTGAAGTGAATAAAAAGAAAAGAGAGAGTAATTGTGAGGTTTATAAAAGTTGTGTGCATATAGGAACAAATATATATTACCTGAGCACTAGTAGTTGTGTTCAAATGATGTTTGTATTCAACTGTCTGCTCTTGACATAACCTGAATAGAGATATACCAATTATATAGATATATACTTTTTCATTGTAATATATATTATATAAAAGAGTTTTTGTGTATGTGTTTATTTGTATATAAATATATTTTGCCCATCGCACTTACAACCCTCTCTTTGGTGGAAAGAAGTGATGATTTTATATTGATAATCTCAGTTCAAGTCCCTCATCAATATTACTCTTTTCCTAGAAGTTTCAGATTTTGTTTCTTAACTTTGATTTTATACATGTGAAATTATTTTCCAGTTTTTTGTTTTTTAAGTAAGCTCCACACCCAGCATTCAGCTTGAATTTCATGATCCTTAAGTCAAGAGTTGCATATTCTATCTCCTAAGCCAGCCAGATGCCCCGGTGCCTGTGAATTTTTAAAAATGAACTAGAATTGGAATAGTGGTCTGCTTCAGGTGCTATTATAGAGCCACTTTGTACGTAGCAGTTATGGGAGTTTGCTGATCTGTGTATCCAGGTCGGTCAAGCTGGTTAGTGGGTATTTGGTTCATGTAATTCCTCAAACAGTGATCCCAAGTAATAGCTTAGATCACTTAAGTAGAAGTTATTTTATGCTCATTACAGTATTTTCATCCTAAAGGTACCTGCTTTTGGCAAAATGCTTTGGCTGTGCGGTGATTGAGGATACCTGGCACTATTTCCTGCATAGGCTCTTACACCACAAAAGAATATATAAATATATTCATAAAATTCATCATGAGTTTCAGGTATGTTAGAATTATTTTTAATACATTTTTTTTCAATTGGAGGCAAAATGCTTTTTTAAAATCTTCTGAGGTTTTAAAAAAATTGTCAGTGATGTTTTTATTTCTTTCTCTTTGGCATGAACACGTTAAGAACATCTCACACACACACACACACACACACACACACACACGGCCAGTTCTATAAATGTTCAAGGAAAGTGTTAACATGAAATAGTTCAGTCCCTCATTCGGGCCAGACCACTCTCCTGTTCTGGTTGGTATGTGGCAGATGAATAGAGACCATAGTGATGTTAAGGTTATTTAAATTGGACCCCAAAACAATGAACTTGTCATCTTTAAATTTCTAAAGCTTTTACCGACTTGTTTAATGAACACCTTTCCACCTCATTCTGATGCCCACAAAAACCTATTTTATCAGAACTGCTTTGATGTACCTTTATCAGACTGGTTATGTCATATATTCCACATTGGCCCTGATTACGTCAAATGCCAAATCAAGTATCCCTTTCTTGGCAAAACAAATTCAGAAGCATAAACCAAAATTGGAATTTAAGTCAGTTGTTTAATACCTTTATCTTAAACCATCAGAGTCAGTTACTAAGATGCTATTAAGGACATCCCTCGATGTTTTGATGTTTGGTAGGAACAAAAAGGTGTTTTTATTGAGAATTACTGTTACTTGTTTATATATGTATGGCTAGATATATTGCCATTACTTATAGAAACAATCTAATTTGATAAAACTGTATGCATAAATTAGAATATATGTATTTGTGGTTCTCTGACAAATCAAAAGGAGATACACACATTTATTTTAAGGAACTGGCTCATGTGATTGTGGGGATTGGCAGATCTGAAATGCATTGGACAGACCACAGACTGGAAATTCAAGCAGGGTTTCCATATTGTGGTCGTGAGAATTCTTTCTTCCTCGTGAGACCTCAGTCTTTGCTTTTAAGGCCTTCAACTCTTTGGATAAAGCCCACTTGCATTATGGAGGATAATCCCCCTTACTCAGAGGCTAACAATTTAAATGTTAGTCACATCTATAATATACGTTCATAGCAATGTCCAGGCTGGTGTTTGACCAACCAAACAGTTGGGCACTGTATAGCCTAGCTAAGCTGACACAAAATTAACAGTCACAATATATTAAGGAATTCTTACATATTTATTTTAGGCTCCATTTGGAATGGAAGCTGAATATGCACATCCCTTGGAAACTCTGATTCTTGGAACTGGATTTTTCATCGGAATCATGCTTTTATGTGATCACGTCATTCTCCTTTGGGCATGGGTGACTATTCGTTTGATAGAAACTATTGACGTCCATAGGTGGGTTATGGTTTCTATTCGGATATAAGGTATCAAAATATAAAAATGCCATTGTTTTCATGGTCATAAGATCATCTTTATTTCTAAGCAGACTAATAGGACAGATTAAATTGTAAAGAATATCTCCTTCCTTCATTCTTTCCTTCCACTGTTATCTCCTCCCTCCTGCCCTCTCAGCTTCCTGAGGAAGGGAGGGGGTGGGTGCTTCAGAGCTCTACCGTTGTGGCTATCAGATTCTAGATTTGTTTTTGGAAATAAAGGAGGATACTCTAAAAGAGTTGCTACATAGTGATTCTTGGGTTTAACCTTCTTAGTGCTTGACACTCATTTAACTTTGCCTAAAGGACATATACTGTCCTGGGCATGAGAACCTGTGTTGAGGAAACTCCTCTAAAACAGAAAAGAAAAATCATTCTTGAAAATCTGTGTCTAAAGATTTTTATAACCCCTCATTTCATCCCCTGTTGTATAATAATTAAGTTCCATAGATCTTTGAAGGTTTTTATCTTAATTTCTGAAAATGGTTTCTAGAATATGTACCATTTTTCTGTGCGTTTTTGTCTTGTGTCAACCTGTCAGAAACAAAGTGACTTAGGTAAAGTGGAATGTTATTTGAATTAGTTAACAGGTATGTTACTATCAATGAAAATGTCAGTTATTTGAAGTGTATTTATTTCCTTAAAAATCTTGATCATTTTTATTTCAGTGGTTATGACATTCCTCTCAACCCTTTAAATCTGATCCCTTTCTATGCTGGTTCTCGGCATCATGATTTCCACCATATGAACTTCATCGGAAACTACGCTTCAACGTTTACATGGTGGGATAGAATTTTCGGAACAGACTCTCAATTTGTTGCTTACAATGAAAAGATGAAGAAGATTGAGAAAAAGACTGAATAAGTATCTCATCTATACCTTCCTGAAGGTACACACTTTTCCTGAATTGAAGCAAGTAGCTAACATTGCTTCTGCAGAGCAGAAATAAACATGTGTCTTGGCTGCTAAGTGATACAGAGAACATTAACAACCTTTAATTATCTTCCTAGTGGGAACTTTTTCTACTTTACATAAAAGCTCTGTATGTGTAGAAATAAATAAATATGTATTTAAGTACGATTTTTCATGAGGGAGTGGTAAAGGCCATGTTGCTAACCTTACAAAAAGGTTTAAGTAATGGAAGAAATATTAATCTGTGTCTTTCCCCAGTAATATCATAGGCCTGAAGTTGAAATTGGTCTTTAAAATCTTCTAAATATATAGTGGCCATTTCAGAAACTGTCTTAGTAGGGTGTTGGCCTCGTATTGAACTTTAAACATTTTTTGGAATTGCCTAAACATCAAAGTATCATGGGTTGAACCCTATCAATTGACAGCGTGAGTGAGGCTGCCAAAGCAGGAAGAGCCAGCACGGAGAACTTCACTCTTGTCCTGAGCCGACTGGTTTGGGGTGATTCTCTTTCTTTGAGAAGTCCTTTGGGATTGCACTGTACTACTGGTGTCTATAAATTAAGGCATTTCTGAATTGTAAGTGGAATATTTTAGTCTTAAGGTTTTCGGGTTACTTGAAATTTTTAAAAAATTGAGCTTTATTTCTGCTATTTACCCTTTCATTTTTGTATATCAAGTTTTCATTATACTTAAAACTGTATCTTGAAACGTGAACTGACTTGCTGTATTTGCACTTTGAACTATTGAAATAAATGTGATTTTTTTGTCTGATTATCTGGGTTCCAATTTTGAACATCAGTTGTTTTATTTTATTCTTATAAAGAAAAGTACAGAAATCATTATATTACTGTTTTGCAATAAAAGGAATAATTCTACTTTTTTAAGAAGTGCTTCATTTGCTGAACTTTTTGGGCAGTTTCGACATGTATTTATCAGGCTATGGTAGTGGGGAATTCCATTGACCTAGTATTAAGACAGCTCTTTTCTCTTTTAGAAGATGTATGCTTTCTGTACAGAGGGAAGAATAGAGTGAAACTTTTTAAAGCTTTTTTAAAGCTTTAAATGGTATCTAGATTCTAACTCAAAGAGTTGGTAATTCTAACTTAGTATAGGGTAGTACCAAATTTTTATTTATAATATGGAGTCGTTTCCTGGTAAATGTCTTTTCTTTCTTTTGAAGACACATGGTGAAGAAGATTCAAATAAGGATTCAGAAAGTTAAACTGAGAATATTCTGCTAGACCATGTTTTCTAACTCGAACCTAGTCCATATGACCCTTTCCATTTTCCCTTTCTGTCCCTTCCCCTACTCTCATGGGTGTGGGTTTAGCCCTTCATTCTCAAACTGATTTTGGGGCTATGCTTAAAATCTTGCGGTTCAATTATAAGATAATCTATAGAAGCTTTAATCTTTACCTTCTGTTCTTCAATATTCATGGAATGCATTAGTAAAGGTGACTCAGTACTTGGGGAGAGGGTGACCTCTATCGTTGGAAATGGTACTAAACAATTTGGTATGCCTAATTCATTCTTTTCACACTAGTTAACTTACTGAGCGCTTATTGTATACCCTGAATTCTGCTATGAGCTTTAAAAAAAAAAAAAAAAGTTTATTTATTTTAGGGAGAGAGAGTGTGGGCTAGCAAGGGGAGGGATCAGGAGAGAAGCAGACTCCCTAATGAGCGTGGAGCTTGACATAGGCTCAGTCTCAGAATCCCGAGATCATGACCTGAACTGAAATCAAGAGTAGGTTGCTTGACTGACTGAACCACCCAGGTGCCCACTCTTGTGAGCTTTTAATGCATGATCTCATTTAAGTCTCTGAGGCAAATGCCATTTTCTCCATTTACATGTGAGGGATTTGTCTGAGAGGTTAAGTTACTTAAGATCACAGGGCTAGCCTTTTGACATCAGAAGCCGCGCTTGCAGCCACTACGTTTACTACAATGGAGACTTGCATCTTTTAGAAAAATCTCACAGGATAGGTTTTCAGATTTTTCCCTCACTATGTACAGTCTTCTGAGAAGAAAGTTCTGAACCAGTAGCTACCCGGAAAATAAGGTTCATACACAACACTTTAGTACAAACAAATTTTAATACAACTTACTGGCAAGACCTCTTCTAAAATTACCTGGATTAGCTTCTATCTCTCTTCTGTTTGTGCTTGACAAAAAACATATGAAGACTAGAGTACAAATACAACACAAAGCTCTGATTCTACTCTAGAAAATCACAACATATTTTGTTGGATTATCCGCTGGACTTCACTGAAGTGGAAATTGGAAAGCTTAAGGTTAATATTGTAGCTAAAATGATTAGCAGAGTATGTTAGAGTTACATCTATCATGTCACAATTAAGTAGTATTTTACTCTTCTACATATTCTGGCTAAAGACATTTAGACCTTTAGAAAAACCTGGGTTTGCAGTATGTCACGAGACCTCCTGTCCCGCAGCTCCCAGTTCTCTCACAGAAAGCCTCAGACTATGAAATCCATATTCAAGTCCCATGTCCCCCTAGCGGGAGTAAGACAAAACCATTTTTAAGAGCGGATGGTCAGATGGTTGTGTGTTCATCTCTGAGGATTTAGATCCTAATCCGTTCTTCCAGAAGATTATATTCTCTGCCAGTATTCTGAAGAGTGATGTGCTTTTCGTCACATGAATAGCAGGTGACTGTCCAATGCTGACATTCTTTTTTTTTTTTTTTTAAGATTTTATTTATTTGACTGAGATCACAAGAAGGCAGAGAGAGAGGGGGAAGCAGGCTCCCAGCTGAACAGAGAGTCAATGCAGGGCTCGATCCCAGGACCCTGAAATCATGACCTGAGCAGAAGGCAGAGGCTTAACCCACTGAGCCACTCAGGTGCCTTCAATTCTGACATTTTACCTAAAATCACCGGAGGACCACATGAAATGTCTTTAGGATGCATACTTAGAGGGCTGTCGAGTTCCACGTGTCAAAAGGAGGGGGATGTGGGAGGCTAAAATCCAGGATCTGAAACTGCCTTCAACCTACTAAGAAAATCATAAAACTCAGGGGACAGATGCATGCTCACTGTGTATGGAACAGAGACGGCCGGTGGTGGAGAAGAAGAGCACAGGGTAAGTAACCACCAGAGCTGCTTGCTCGTGGGAGATTGAAGCCAACACTGCAGTGACAGCAACAGGAGAGAGACAAAGCCACAGATGCCATGACAGCATCTCTCACTCCTTCACTCCAGGTAACAGAAGCACTTCCTGGAGAGCCTTTTCCCCTCCTCTTCCTCGAAGCCTATCCCCTCATCTATGAAATGAGGCTAACAGTAATCCATAGTTTTGTGAGGATTCAGTAAGATGCTCCATGGGAAGTATGTGTTGCCATATGCAACAAATGTTGGCTATTCTGTTAAAAATTCCCTACGCTCCATATTCTTAAGGACCCAGCTCAAGCCTCACCCCACCACCCCCTCCTTCCTATTCCTAGGTCTTATTCTTGCTTCAGGTGACCAGTCTCTCACTGCTCTCCCCATGCCGGGTTCAGCAGCACTCCTCTATAGCCACTTGGCACATTCTACTATGGAGCGCCACCCCTTTTTAGCCAAAGATACCTATTTTGCACCATTTGCTTCCCCTTTGTGCCGTTGCTCATGCTAATCTTTCAGCCTGAAACAGAGGCTCAGTGAGTGGCATTCATATGGTCAAAGGCATGCAGGTTGTGAGTGGCTGAGCTGCCTGCAGAGCTGGGATTTCCCTCTTCTCTGCGTTTCCCACTGCACCATTTGTACATCTGACGTGAGGCCCCCGCCCCCACCACGGGATAGTTTGAAAAACGCCTACCAATTTAAAAAAGGGGAGAGCCTGTAACAGCATCTTAATGTAGGATTTGGCGATTGTGCCGCCATTGTAACGATCAACTTAGAAAGTCTTAAGTAATAACAGCAAATGGTGGGGAGAGCAGAGGGCAAGGAGGGGTTCTTGAAGTACATGCTAGAGGTGGAACCGTGCGTCGGCGTTGCCTGCGTTGGCTGAGGTCTGGCTGCACTTTCATGCTTTGGCAGCTGAGAGTCTGACTTTATTGATGCAGATTCCTATGGTGTACGCAGCTTTAGATGTTCTGGGGGCATGCATGCCTGTTGAACTTGACAAAAGATGGTGTCCACCTAATAAAGAACATTTAAAATTTTGTTTAGCCTTTCGGCAGATTGAGCAAAACTTCTTGTACTCCATGAAGATTCAGTGAGGTTTCCTTTGCTATAAAATCATTTGTCTGCTAGGAACAGAAGAAGGAGAGAGTAGGAAGAGCAGGGTCAGTGCTCAGGAGTAGATGCACTGTGCACCCAGAGAGCAGCCATCTGAACTCCTTGGCTCTCACACTTCTGTGTCAAGGGAACACAATCTGTAGTCGGGAAAGGAAGCAAAACCACCCTGCTAAGAGAACCAAATCCCCGGGGAGAGGAAGAGCTAGTTCAAGTGCCTAACAGCTTTAAATGCACTTTGAAATGTCCTCGAGTTCCTGAGGAGGGAAAGAATTTGCAAATATAACTGTGAAATTATTTTAGATAATCAGACAGCAAACGAGTCCTTTCAGACGTTGTCTTTTTCAGTAGGTTGGGTTCAGTGTCTCCACAGGAGACTGTTCCAGTCTCTCTCTGGGGAAGAATATACCCTGATGCCCAGATTCATTCTGGGAATTAGGTGTGGAAGGGGCCTTAGGAGCCCCAGGTCAGAGGGTGCCCTTTCACAGAATCCCTCAGTTCTCAGCCCCATGCCCACCTTATCCACAGCTTCCTCAGTATCTGGAGACGCTTGAGCCTCTTCTGCTCAATATCTACTCATTTTCTCCAGAACAATAAGCCTACTCTCTCAGGTCTCAGATTAGACACCACTTGTGGGGAACACTGTCTAACCTCTTCTCTTCAGGTCAGATGTAGGTACTTTCCTGTTGACTGTTGACTGTTCTCCTATCATGGAACTTAGCACACTGGATGCTAAGGGCAACGCGCTGCTCTGTATCTCCCAACGGGGATTGTCCTAGCAGTTTTCTTATCCAGAGTCACCTTCCCAGTTCCTACACAGAGTCTGGATGTTCCTAGGAATGCTAAATAGAGTTAAAATATAACTATTATGGACTGAAGCCAGAATAGGCTGACAAAAGTCTTCTAAAAACTGATTTCATTGTAAATATTTATTAAGTAGATGAATATTTTATCAATCATTATTGACCCATATCAGGAATACCTGTAGATTCATAAACTTTTCAAGAAAGTGAAAACACTTGACAGTGACCTGATAGAGAACAGTAGTGTTTAAAACGCAGGAAAATGCATTCTGTGAGACCAGAATTACCTGGATACCAAAATTCGACAATAATATCACGACGAAAAACTACAGAGCAATATCCCTTATGAGTGTAGATGTGGAAATCCATAAGAAAATACTAGCAAACAGGGCACCTGTGTGGCTCAGTGGGATAAAACCTCTGCTTTCAGCTCAGGTCATGATCCCAGGGTGCTGGGATCGAGCTCTGCATAGGGCTCTCTGCTCGACGGGGAGTCTGCTTCCTTTCCTCTCTCTCTGCCTCTCTGCCTACTTGTGATCTCTGTCAAATAAATGAATAAAATCTTAAAAAAAAAAAAAAGATATTTCACAGGGAAATTTCGTTAAAAAAAAAAAAAGAAAGAAAATACTAGCAAACCAAAGCCAGTATGATATAAAGGATTATTTATACATTATCAGATGGCATTTATGTCAGAGATGTAAAGTTAGTTTTGTTGTCGTGTTTTTATTATGTAAGCTTCAGGTGTACAGTTTTATGGTTCAACATCTGTTGAATACACTACATCGTTATCCCCACCCCAAGTCTAGTTACCACTCATCACCATAGACTTAATCCCCTCCACCCCCTTCACCCACTCTCTGATTCCCTTCCCCTCTTGGTGAACACAGTCTGTTCTTTGTAAGTTTGTTTTTGTTTTATTTGGTTTGTTTGTTTGTTTTCCTTTTCAGATTCCACATATAAGTGAAATCATACAGTACTTGTCATTCTCTGTCTGATCTGTTTCACTTAGTATAATACCCATCCATATTATTGCAAATGGCAAGATAGCTCTTTTTTTTGTGGCTGAGTTATATTCCATTGTATAATTATATCACATTTTCTTTATCCATTTATCTACTATGGACACTTAGGTTTTTCTATGTCTTAGCTACTGTAAATAATGCTGCAATGAATGTAGGAACACATATGTCTTTCTGAATTAATGTTTTCATATTCTTCAGATAAATACCCAAAACCGGAATAGCTGGGTCACATGGTAGTTCTAGTCTTAAATTTTTGAAGGATCTCCATGATGTTTGCCATCATGGCTGCACTAATTTACAGTGGTGCCTGAAGTTTTCTTTTTCTCCACATCCTTTCGAACACTTGCTATTTCTTATCTTTTTGACAATAGTCATTCTAACAGGTATTAGAAGATACCTCACTGTCGTTTTGATTTGCAATTTGCTGATTAGTAATTTTTTTTTTTTTTGGTAAGACTAGGAGCTTTTATTGAACATTTTTGAGAAGAAAATCACTCCCACCACCTTCCCCCACCCCTCTACTGTAAAGGATTAATTCATTTTGAAATTTCTTTCAACGTAATTTTTTCAAAATAATTTTTATACTCTTACTGGTTATAAAAATAACCCAAACTACAGTTAATTACATTGTAGAAATACAAAATACAGAATATGAAATTTCTAATTCATTATTTCCTCTGAAATATACACTATCAATAGTTTTTACATACTTTTGTTCATATATACATATTTTTAAAATTAATTAATCTATTTTTTATTTTGATTTCTTAAGTCTTTAATTTTTATGTATGGTATAAAATAGTGATCTAGTTTCATTTTTTTGCCTGTGGCTGTGCAGTTTTCCAATTGCCATTATTAAAAAGCCTGTCTTTTCTCTGTTGTATGTTCTTCACTCCCCTGTCATATATGAATTGTCCATATATGTGTGGGTTTATTTCTGGGCTCTCAATTTGGTTCCATTGATCTGTATGTCTGTTTTTATATCAATACCACACTGTTTTGATTATGATAGCTTTGTAGTATAGTTTGAAATCAGGGAGATTGATGCCTCTAGCTTTGTTCTTCTTTCTCAAGATTGCTTTTGGCTATTTGGGATCTTTTGTAGGTCCATATACATTTTAGAATTTGTTCTAGTTCTATGAAGGATACTTTTGAAATTCTGATAGGTATTGCATTGAATCTGCAGATTGACCCAGGTAATATGAACATTTTAACAATATTAATTCTTCTAACCATGAGCACAGAATATCTTCCCATTTATTTGCATCTTTTTCAATTTCTTTCATCAGTGTCTTATCATTTTCAGGGTGCAGGTCTTTCATAGTTGAGTACAATATTAGCTATAGGATTTTAGTATATGACCTTTATTATGTTGAGGTATATTCCCTTTATAATCCACTTTGTTGTGAGTTTTCATCATGAATGGACATTGACTTTGTCAAATGCTTTATCTGCATATATTGAGATAATTATGCTTTTCATCTTTTATTTTGTTAATGTGATATTATGTTGATTGATTTGCAGATGTTGAACCATCCTTGCATCCCTGGAATCCCACCTGATTGTGGTATATAATCCTTTCAATTATGGTTGGATTAAGTTTGCTAATATTCTGTTAAAGATTTTCTCATGTATATTCATCAGGTGTATTAGCCTCTAATTTTCTTTTTTTGTTGCATCCTTGTTTGGTTTTGGTATCAGGGTAATGCTGGCCATGTAAAATGGGTTTGTAAGCTCTTCCTTCTCTTTAATTTTTTTGGAAGAGCTTGAAAAAAATAGCTTTTAACTATTCTTTAAATATTTGGTAGAATTCAACTGTGAAGCAACTCTTTTCTGCATATGCCTCCCCAGGAAGGGAAACAAAAGCAAAAATAAACAACTGGGACTACAGCAAACTAAAAAGGTTTTGCACAGCAAAGGAAACCATCAATAAAATGAAAAGGCAATCTAATGAATGAGAAAAGATGTTCTCAAATGATAGATACAATGAGGGTTTAACATTCAAATTCTGTAGAGAACTCTTACAACTCAACACTCAAAAAACCAAATAGTCCAATTAAAAAATGGCCAGAGGACCTGAATAGATATCTTTCCAAAGAAGACATACAGATGGCCACCAGGCACATGGAAAGATGCTTAGGATCACTAACCATCAAGGAAATGCAAATCGAAACCACAAGGAGATATCACCTCACATTTGTCAGAATGGTGTTGTTCAAAAAGAGGGGCATTTGGGTGGCTCCATTGGTTAAGCATCCAACTCTTGACTTCAGCTCAGGTTATGATCTCAGGGTCATAGGATCGAGCTCCATACTTTAGTGGGGAGTCTCTTTGAAGATTTCTCTTCCTCTCCTTCTGCCCTTCCCCCTGCTCATGCTCTCTCTCTCTCTTTCTAAAATAAATAAATAAATAAATAAATCTTAAAAAAAAAAAAAAAAGAAAAGAGAGTCAGATGGGCTGGAGACATTTCTGGAAGCACCAGCACCATGGCTGCCCAGGGAGAGACCCAAGTCCAGTTCAAACTGGTGCTGGTTGGCGACGGTGGCACCGGGAAGACGATGTTCGTGAAGCATCACCTGACGGGGGAGTTTGAGAAGAAGTATGTAGCTACCCTGGGCATGGAAGTCCACCTGTTCATGTCCCACACCAACAGGGGACCCATCAAGTTCAACGTGTGGGACACGGCTGGCCAGAAGAAGTTCGGCAGGCTGCGGGAAGCCCAGTGTGCCATTATAATGTTTGATGTCATGTCAAGGGTTACTTACAAGAATGTGCCTAACTGGCATAGAGATCTGGTACGAGTGTGTGAAAACTTCCCCATTGTGCTGTGTGGCAACAAAGTAGACATTAAGGACAGGAAAGTTAAGGCAAAATCTATTGTCTTCCACCGAAAGAAGAATCTTCAGTACTATGACATTTCTGCCAAAAATAACTACAACTTTGAAAAGCCCTTCCTGTGGCTTGCTAGAAAACTAATTGGAGACCCTAACTTGGAGTTTGTCGCCATGTCTGCTCTCGCCCCGCCAGAGGTTGTCATGGACCCAGCTTTGGCAGCACAGTATGAGCACGATCTAGAGGTTGCTCAGACAACTGCTCTCCCGGATGAGGATGATGACCTGTGAGAACATGCAGCTGGAGCCCAGCATCAGAAGTCTAGTTTTATATGCAACTGTCCTGTGATGTCAGTGGTGCAGTGCATTTGCCACTTTATTATATAGCTGAGCAGAACATGTGCTTAATCTCTGGGATGCTGAAGGAGATGAATGGGCTTCAGAGTGAATGTGGCAGTTTGAAAAGTACCTTCATTTTCTGGACCTGCATATTTAGCTGTTTTGGAATGCAGTTGTTTCCTTCCTGAGTTTCAGATATGAGACTGCTATAGTCCCGTAACAATATCTAGTGGTGAAATCTTGTTTGTCACTGTCATTCCCATTCCTTTTCGTTTAGAATCAGAATAAAGTTATATTTCAAATTAAAAAAAAAAGAAAAGAGAAAAGAAAAGAAAAGAGAAAAAAGAAAAGAAAAGAAAAGAAAAGAAAAGAAAAGAAAAGAAAAGAAAAGAAAGAAAAGAGAAGAAAAGAAAAGGAAAGAAAAGAAATAACAGGGTTGGAGGATGTGGGGAAAAGGGAACTCTCATGTTCTGGTGTAGCCACTACGGAAGCATATAAAAATTCCTCAATAAGTTAAAAACAGAACTACCATACAATCCAGCAACTTTACTTCCAGGTGTATATCTGAAGAAAATGAAAAGACTAATTCAAAATGACACATGCAAGCTTATGTTCATAGCAGCATTATTTACAATAGCTAAGATAAACAACCTAAGTATACACCAATAGATGGATGGATAAAGAGGAGACACACACACACACGCACACACACAGACACACACACACACAAAACATTTTCTGTAACAGAGAGCCATGAGAAAAAGCTTTGAGCTGAGATGAGACCATGAGGGAGCCAATTCACCATCTGGCAGTAGCTCCCTCACCATAGGCGGTGACACTTCCTGCCACAAGTGGGTTCCTAAGCAGCTGGGGTGTGGTGTGCTCTGAATCTGTGAATTAATTAGTTATTGGAATTTTTATTGTATATCGTTGTCAAAGTGTTAAAAATACTCAGTAAGTCACTTCTTAACAGGATGTGTTTTCCCCAGATTTCAATTCTACTACATCCTAATTGAAATAAGCTCTCCTATGCATGGGTGATCGGTTCTAGCCAGAGAACACTTTTTATCACTGGACAAGTGATACATATCACTTATATCTTTACACTGGAGAATGGGCTCTTTCTCCATTGAAAGGGCCCATTCTCCAGTGAAAGCCTCTTCTCTTCTCTTCTCTTCTCTTCTCTGAGAGGGACTATATGTTAATCCATTTACTTCCTTCACCGATCACATCCCACCAAGTAACTATCAAGTACCTGGCATATAGTGGGTTCTAAATAGAAGTTTGTTGAAGGAAGGAAGGAAGGAAGGAAGGAAGGAAGGAAGGAAAGAGTGAAGGAAGGAAAGAGTGAAGGAAGGAGGGAAGGAAGGAAGGAAGGAAGGAAGGAAGGAAGGAAGGAAGGAATTGAAAGCCCATACCATGGAAATGATAGTGTCTTTCCCCATCAGCCTTATTTCATCACTTCTTATTTATATAAACTTGTACTAATTATTTAATTTTTCTAAACTTTAGTCTTCTCATTTGTAAAATGTTGTACAAGGAGCAAGGTCAAAGCCAATAATTATTACAGTGCTTAGTTCAAAGATGTAGATATTAGGGCGCCTGGGCAGCTCAGGGGGTTAAGCATCTGCCTTCGGCTCAGGTCATGATCCACTGTCCTAGGATGGAGCTCTGCCAGACTCCCTGCTCAGTGGGGATTCTGCTTTCCCTCTTCCTCTGCCCCTCCCCCTGCTCATGCTCACTCTCTCCTTCCCCTCAAAAAAATAAATAAACATTCCTAATCGACTTAATGGTCTTCTTTTAGAGGTAGAGGTTATTTCCTTAAAATCTTTAAAGTTTAAAAAGCATAAAGTTCTTGGGGACATATATCTCATTGTTTTCAACAACTATTTATTAAATCTCTTTCATAGATTAGGAACCTATCCTCACATGCTCATCTTCTATAGTGGAAAAAAAAGCAACGTAAGTAAAGAAACAGGATTATTGTGATGCATATGTTGAAGGAAATGGACAAGAAGATATGACAGATGGGAGACAGACCTGGGAGTCCCCATTGCACACAGAGATCCCGAGAGAGTGGCTTTCGAGGAGATGGGCGAGGTAGGCAGCAGACAGATTTGTGGACAATGAAAGTCATAGTAAGAAGTTGGGAATTTATTCCAAGTACATTGGAAAGCTCCAATGTACTTGGAGAGTGATACAATCTGATACAAAGCAGGAGAGTGATACAATCTGATTTACATTTTGAAAATGGACTGCAGTGTGAACAGTAAATTCAGGGTGGGCAGATAAAGAAGCAGGGAAATCAGTTAGGAGGCAATCACAATGGTTGATGTGAGAAAAGTTAGTGACTGAGATTAGGGTAGTGGCAGTGTTTATGGCCATGTCTATCTATCTATTCATCTATAAGTATATCTATACATATATTTATTTATACATATATGATAAAATTGATGGAAATTGCTGATGTGGAGCATGCGGAAACAGAAAGCTCGAAGCTGTCAACTGGAATTTTATTGGACAAACAGAAAATGGAGTCATTTCTTTTTTTTTAAATAAAGATTTATTTATTGATTTGAGAGAGTGTGAGTGGGGCAGAGGGAGAGACTCCCAAGCAGACTCCATGCTCAACGTGGAGCCTGTTGTGGGGCTGGATCTCACAACCCTGAGATCACAACCTGAGCCAAAACCAAGAGTTGGATACCTAACCCACTGTGCCACCCAGGCACCCTGAAAATGAGGCCATTTCTGAGAAGAAATATACCAGAAGAAACACAGGGGTTTTGTGTGTGTGTGTGTGTGTGTGTTGGGAAGGGAAGTGGGGACCATACTTTGACAAGAGTATTAAAAATCCGAGTAGATATGATTATTGATTATAATGAAAGATTCGTGTGCTACTGTGTGCATCTGTGCAATGTTTACAGTTATCACTGTAGATTCCTGAGCAATTTAACTTGATCCAGAATTAAAGACCTTATTTATTTACAAGATTTATTAATTTGTAAGCTATAAAAATGTATAAGATTGCTAACATCTTAACAGCTAAAGGGAAAACCAATCACCTTTTGTGACCTTTGTCTCATAAGAGTATTGCACTTGATTTTCATTTTGGTAATTTCATTCCCAAACATGGGCATATAAAAGATAAGGCACTTTTGATTTTTTTCTATGTATTTTATTACTGGAAAAATTAGGGGCTAAAGAGCAATACTTTCCCTTAGCTACTAGGGCCTAGTGTAACATTTTATAAGCAAGTTATTGTATTATATTTTTTATTCCATTTTGGTATATTTTAAAGATTTAATTTATTTATTTGATGGAGAGAGAGAGCATGAGGAGGGAGGAGAGAGAAAGGGAGAAGAAGGATCCCTGCTGTGCAGGGAGCCCAATGGGGGGCAGACACGTAAGTGACGGAGCCACCCAGGCATCCAATGGTATCTTTTTTTTACATACTAGAGTATATAATTTTAATTTAAGTCTGATGAGCACCACATTTTATAGTTGTTAAAAGCACAGAAATAATAATCTTTTCATAGACAGGAGGAAAACATAGAAATTCAATTCATTCTCCTAGTAACATGCTGAGGCTTTAGACTTACAGTACATTTTCCTAAAGGAAAATCAGCTCAGATCAGAAAAATTAAATGAAGGGATAACTCTAAAATATGTCTTTGCATTAACAATATTTCTCTTTGATCTGGTGTCTCCCTGCTTTTGAATTTATCCTTCATGAATTTGGGTGGCTTATCTGTAAAATGTGGATAATAAAATGAGGTCATTGTGAGAATCAAGTGAAAAATGCAGAGGAAACACTTTGTGATCACTGAAATGTTTATAAATATTACGCTTTTTGTTTTTGTTATGCTACTGTGTGTCTTGCATAAGATATAGAGATTCCTCAATTTGATTTAGGATTAATCGTCCATAAGGAAGGCAAATTTCCCACACTTTTCACACTAAGGTAGATGAAGTTTATAAAGTTTCTAAGGCCTTTGAATAGAGATAGTACTGGATTTTCAGCTGCCTTCCTTCTGCTTTTTCTTCTCTTCTCTCTCTCTTTTAACGTAGACTCCATGTCCACAATGGAGCCCAATGCGGAGCTTGAACTCATAAGCCTGAGCTCAAGACCTGAACTGAAATCAAGAGTCCAAGGCTTAACAGACTGAGCCACCCAGGCGCCCCTCTTCTTCTGTCTTCTTATTCTTCCCTCTTCCTCTTCCGCTACTCCTCTTCTTCCTCTGCCTTCGCTCTCTCTTTCACTTTTTCTCTCTCTCCCTCTCCACCCTGTACTCTCTACTCTTCACTTACACAAATCTGAGCTAAGTTCTCCTCTGAAGTCTATTCTTTTGGCCACAGGATTCCCACTGAAAGAGACAATCCATGAAGTCACTCACGAGAAGGCAAACCTGGACCCAGAACCTGGGCTTTGCCACCAACAGGACTCTGCTAGGCAGTGACCACTCCATGCCTCCAGGCCCCTCATCTTCTCTGTGGAATAATCTGCCCTCTCCCAAGCTCTGTATCCGAGGATGCAGGCCCCTGAAGTAAATCCTGTAACCACGTGGGGAGCAAATGAAGCCCCCTTCTTCAGTAACTTGGTCTGGTCCATATATGGGTTACTTTTCTTTTCCTTTCTTTTCTTTTCTTTTTTTTAATAAAGATTTTATGGGGGCACCTGGGTGGCTTAGTGGGTTAAAGCCTCTGCCTTCGGCTGGGGTCATGATCCCAGAGTCCTGGGATCGAGTCCCGCATCGGACTCTGCTCAGCGGGGAGCCTGCTTTCCCCTCTCTCTCTCTGCCTACTTGTGATCTCTCTCTCTCTCTGTCGAGTAAATAAATAAAAATCTTTAAAAAATATTTTATGTATTTATTTGACAGAAAGACATAGTGAGAGCAGGAACACAAGCAGGGAGTGGGGCAGAGGGAGAAGCAGGCTTCCCATTGAGCAGGGAGCCCAACGCGGGACTTGATTCCAGAACCCTAGGATCCTGACCTGAGCCGAAGGCAGAGATTAATGAC